ATTGGTACTTTGGTACCTACATATAGTATTCCAAATTTTTCTTAATAATCAGGAAATACAAAAAGAATAACAGCCAAAACTGGAAACCCAAAAATACACTATCTATGTCCCATGTGATAAGGACAAATCTTCCCCAATAGTTATAAATACATTACAGGAAAAAAAAACGGCTTAACCAATTATTTTTTGCTAAACACGTCACTGTATTCATTTATAAAACCATACGATATTTTATTCGCTTGTTGCTATAATCACTTTTCTTTGTGAAACATCTAATGCAGCGGGTGAAATCGTTTGTCGGGGTGGCTACGCTTGCAGCACATGCACGAAAAGCACACAATGCACGCAACGTGCATGTAAACACACACGCAAAACATCTAATGCGCCTTTAAAATAAAAAAAGTAATTTTCGATGCTTCACATCTGCCTGCAGGCTTTCGGTGACGGTCACTTAAAAAAAAAACATATTTTAATTTATACCACTTACAGCCCAAATATATTAGGCGTATATTTCTGTTTAAACCACCCCTACCTCTTTCTCCATGAAACCTAATTACGTTAATCTGCGTCGGTCCGTTATATATTTTTGACGTTTAATTTACAGTTATCGCGCACTTGAAATTCAATTGTGGCGCTGTAAGCTGTTGACACATTATAGATAATACATATATTATTATGTTAGATTGTGTCGGAAGCCAAAATTGTATTTCAGACAATCGGCTATCAACATATTCGTGTTAATATTTACACAACTATATAATGTAAAGGCTATTATTTTACATCGTTGTACAAAAAATTTAAGCCACGACAACAGTAATTACGTATTCACTAAAACAATTGATTTGCAGCATAACTTATTAATTTACCTATTACCGATAGGTAGGTACCTAAAGTTAAAACCTAAAATTCTACCTTAGTGGTTTAAAATAAAAGCTTTTAGTTTATGTTTCCGCGATCATCCTTGAAATTTTCTAAGTAAATACAAGTCAATACAAATCCGTATTATGTCTTACAAGCAAACTATATTCATATTAGCGCACTTTCATCCGTCTCGATTTTCGTTCATGTGTTTTGTGTGTATATAATCATTTTAATTGTCACTAAGTCATTAATGACGGTGATGCGACGTACAATTGACGTGTGTCAATCTACTCAAAGTAGGTAAACTAATGCGTTTGCGTTATTGGTTTTACACAAATCTAACGATTATTTTAAAGAATTCTAAGAAAACCCCCTCCTCACACAACAACTATTGAGGGATATCTATATAATTACATCACTAATATGATAACGTTTTATTGACATTAAATTGGTTAATTTAACAATATTTAATATTATAAGTCCACGCGACTATACGTAAAATATAGCAGTGGTAATTTGTATCACGTGTCACATTTAGATGTGTTTATGGTTTAAGTAGGTCATGTCAATTTGAATATATCGAACGTGATTAGGCAATACCTAACCAACACTATAGATTAATTCCTCCGTTTCAAACTCATAAAATATCACGTTTAAAAAACAATGAGAGCTAGGTATGTTCGAGGAGAATTACCTTTTATTTTTAATGTACAGTCTTAAAGCGTTTCAATCAACAATTAATGAAATAAACTTTATTGCCTAAAATTAAAACTTCTTTCTAACGTCTACACATTAAACATGTACCCATTGTACCCCGATTGGAATTGCCAATAAATATTATTCCACGCTATACACAAGTACTATACTGGTATTGCTGGTACTTCATAAGTACTTCATAAAGTAATTCGAATTAAAAAAAGTCCACTTTACGTTTATAGATTTGGGAGGCAATTCCGGGTACACTCAGTATAACAGAGTAATTAAAACTGCTAGATACATCCATATATATAATATAACAATAACAAAATAAAGCAGGTGATTTTTTTGTTGAAGAACACTATATTAATATTATTTTAAAATATTTTAAAATCATTTTAGGTTATACAAAACAAGATTTTTGGGAAAACTTAAATTTTTTTTTTTTTTTTTTTTTTTTTTTTTTATTAGCTATTAGTATACAACTATGACAGCTCGACTATTACAGAGATGATACATAAAACACATTATACATTAAACATTTAATACATATTAAATAATAAAGCCAGCATCCAATATAAAGGTAATTATTAATTTAATGGCGGTAGTAGATTTTGTATTAAGTATGGAGTGGATATTTAAGGGGATATCAAGAGTCTTAAGTTCATTAACTAAAATAATGCGTTTGAGTTGTAGGGCAGGGCAGTCAAGTARAATATGGGATAAGTCACAAATGCATTCATTCAGGTGAAGAGTACAGAACGGAGAATCATTAAGAACTTAAATTTTTTTACCATTTATTTTCGTTATTTTTTTAAACAAATGTTAAAAGATGATTTAATAAACTATAAGTTTGAATGAGCGGATCGGATTCAGGGATAGGTACCCCGGGAAATGTTTAAACACTAATCATTTACTAATTGCTCGTCCGAAATGTCTTTGAAAAATATTCTGCTTTTCAATATGAAATTAAAAATGTATGTTGTATTTAAAAATGAAATTATTTTTCCGAAAAGATTGCTTCGTTGCAAGTAAGTTTTAACCGTGAACAAAAAAAGTTATCGGTTTTGATATTATATGAGTGATTTCGATAGAAAAAAAAAAATCACCAGGAATAATATTGAACATAATATTTTATAATATCTAGGACTAGGCGTCTAGGCAGTGGAATGTAGGAATTAGACAAGTGTAAGACGTGTATAATAGTGGATATGATATACAAATAAATTAGGCTCGGTGCTATACTATAAACGTGCGCAGCTACTATTAAACTTTCACGTTTGTTAATTATTAGACACGACAGTTCAAAACGTGTACCTATTTTTTTCTCCAACAAAACGTTTAGAAAATAGTTTTTCGTAGTGGATTATTTTATCGGACGGGGTAATAGATATCGCTGCAGGGTGGCGCGCACGACGACGGCTTGGCATATTATTACCTACACATCACGCAATCGCGCTTACTCCCGCAGTGGTATTACACATTCTAACATAATAATAGTATATCCTAAATAATAATAATATACACACTAAACGGTGAATACAGGGTGTAGTCAATGTCGGTCCGGAAGTAAACTGCAATTATGGCTGATGGACCGGAAAAATAGGTTGTATTTTATATATATATATATTATACAACACTTGTTGAAACAATTTTCAGAATTCCTAAATCGCACATTTTGTATACGTCGTCGTATCTTTAATAAATCAACATCAGTGTCTGAAGTGTGTCTTATAGAAGGTCTGTTGCATAATAAATAGTTACAACGAGCATAATATTCGACTCATAGATATTATTAAAGTATCATCTAAGCAAAAAATCACAAACACCCAATTAAACTAAATTATAATTTTAATTTCTGCTTTGAGAACGTATGCAACTATAATTGTCAATAAATTAATGATCCTAGTGAACATAACACGTTTATGTTCATACCTGCTTGGAAATAAAAATATAAGTACATAAGGAATCTGTAATTAAAACCGATAAAAACGGAAAATAATTAAATAACTTTTTTGATTGTTAGTCTTTTTTTAATAATAACATACAGAAGACCCGCAACGTGTTTAAAAACGAACAAGGTACAACCTACCAATTAGATCTTAAAAACTAACATTTTTTTAATCGCTTCTTTTATCTCTCATACAATATTTTTATGATTTATCAATATGTGTAGGTAATAGGTATATACAAATATATAATAGTATAATCCATATGCATTTCGTTAGACTTACATAATATTAGTATATATTTAATATATAATGTAAACTTAGACCGGCAGGACTCGACAACGCGCGTATATTAAAATATCGAAAAATAATAATATTCATAAAATCATATGATAATATTAAATAGGCACCTACAACATACAATACCATTAATAACATTCGAAAATAAAATATTATATACTAGGTGATATATATATAAATGCACGGACAGGAAAACGATTGGTAAAATTAACGAATTTGTGTGTCCGACTTTTAATCATAAAATATACACCCAAATAACAAGAACATAATATTATTTTTAATGTTTAGAGAACTGCGTCGTACCCGCCATGTGTTGTTGTCTCCGTGTTTCTATATAACGCATAACATATATACCAAGAAAAGTGTACCTCAAGCGGAATCCGTTTTACTATGTTATTTTTAATATTTTCAGACTTCAGAGTGAGTTGACCTATATTATAAAATTATAAAAATATTATCTGTACAGTGTCCTCAAAAAGTTTATTTTGTATTTTAATTTTTAATTGAGTCATGAGCATTTCAAATTGTACGTTTTAAAATCTGTCTTACCCCAACTATTGTAAGACATCATATCAAATCCTAGATTTGATCTCAGATTTTGGATCCGGATTCTTAATACAGTTTATTGATAATATAGTTGACTTAGAGAAAATGTGCATGTTATCAAACTATTGTGGAGAATAATGATATAAACTGTGCTCGAGCGAAAGGTTTTATTCTCAAATGTTTGTTTTATTATGAGTTTTTTTACTAGCAGTAAATTTAAATATAACTTCATTTTGCGAATTTTTTTTCTCGTTAGAGTTTTTATAAAACTCGTTTTGGGCCGAGATAACAACAACTTACACTACTTACGACTGGGGTACGACGTCCACTCTCAATTCAATATACTACTTTGTTCGTGATTGTATATATAAACAAATACGATTGTTATGGTTTTATCAAAACAACAAATAATTCGGTAAACGCGCTGTGTTGCTGCTGCAGGTATTTCGTCGTCGACGGGGCACCCTGTATCAGCATAATATACAGCGTATAAAAACACAATGTAACATCACGCGCAGTTCAACCTCCAACACACGTCACATGGAGGTAATAATATGTACCCACTAAACGTTGTGATACTAATACCTATTTATACATAACTAACATAATAACAAGTAACAACGTGCTACTATTACGTGCACAACTCACGTGGTCGCACGACGAGGTGGCCGCCGGGCATTTGCAGCAGACCGTGGTCGCAGGGCCTGGCTGCAACGACGCGGCGTGATCGTCCGGCGCCACAGGGTCCGCGTGATCTGGTTCCGGAACCACGGACACGTGTTCGTGAACGACGTGTTCGGTGACGAAGTGGTCGGCCACCAGCCACGGCGGCGCGTCGACGACTTGGGCCGCGAGCGCCGGCCGGAGGCGCGGGTTACTCGCCGCGGTGGCCGTGGCCGGCTGGTCCGAGACGCGTTCCGGCCGGTTCGGTCCGGGGACAGCGGTAGTATCGAAGGCGGCGACCGCCGCCGCGGTGACGGCGCCGGTGATTGTGACATCGGTGGTGGGTGCGGAGTCGGTGGAAGACGGCGTGGTCGTCTCCTCGGCCAGCAACACGTCCTGACGATGTGTTTTTCTGCTGCTGCTGATGTTGTTGTTGTTGTTGCTGCTGCTGCTGCTGTTGCTGTTCTTCTTGCTGCTGTTCTTCTTGTTGTTCTTTTTCGAGAACTGGCGGTAAAAGTGGCCGACCGCAGTGCCAGTCGCGGTCATCATCGACGTGGCGGCCGCAGGACTTGGTGAATCCGTTTCGGTGCGGGCGGTGCTCTCGGTGGTCTGTATGAGAAACAAACAAGATCAACAATATTTAGACACTATCATAATAATAAATATAAGTACTCTTTATTTTTTCATTTATATATACTGGAAATCCGTTTTGTGATGCATGATTTATTATTGTAAATACAKCAAACCAGAGATTCCCATACTTTTCACAGAACGACCCATTTTGAAAAATTTTAAAATTTTGACGACCCGCATTTTTTTTATTTTTATAAAGTAAGGGTCTAAGATATAGTCTTATCATAATATAAATTGTTTTTTGAGATTAATTGTCAGTCCCGGGTAACGTTTACACGAATATAATATATCTTATACAGTGTGATGTAATAATGCTGCAGGCAATAATTTATATACATAATAATGTTGTATATCATTAATTTACCATTTGTTCTATTGAACACGCGATATAAACGCAAAATCCACGTCCACTGGACTTAACTGTGTGTCCATTCAGTGGCGGTTTTGATAAAACATCAAGGGGGGGCTATTTTCAATTTTTGTGCCCCCCACCCTCCATAATAGTTGCATATATAACTTACAGAACATAACAGTTGACACAAAAAAAATCCAAGGAGGGCGAGCGCCCCCTTCGCCCCACCCCCTAAAAACCGCCACTGTGTCCATTAGGACACAAAAAAACTTCCTTAAAAATTGGCCGTGGCTCGGAAAAGGGTCTTACTAAGATTTCCAGCGAGATGTCAGTTCTAGCAAACAATTTCAGGAATGTAACCTAACGTTTATTAGATTAGGTATTATTATATGGACTAATAAAATCCTGTGGAAATTGATTTCAACACATCATGAAATGCAACTATACTTACTTTTTGTCTTCGACAAGGAATCTATGTTGAAATTTTTAATTTTATTTTTTTTTTACTTTTAAGAGAGTCATTTAAAATTGTTCCGTTTCTCTCGAGAAAGACCTGCAGAGTTATTCTTATTATATAATACGAAGCTTATCGACATTTTTTAATCAATGCTAATAAGCAGCGTTCTGTAGTATTCCCAACGGTCGAGTAGATACATTTATACATTTAACTACATTTTATCAATCGTTTTCGTTACCTCCTTAATTACTTATACAATTTACCCACAAAATTATATAATAATTTACTGTTTTCATATTTTTTACGATAAACATACCAAATCTAAAAATTTTAATTAATTACAAAATATAATACAAAAATCGAGTGTATCTATATAATTATCAGGATTAGGTTTGTTACAACTTTTTAGGATTCTATACCCTCTTTATACGTGGGGCGTTGAAGATCCGTTTACACAATAATTTTATAGGCTCCATTAAATATAACCAAGGACAAAGGACGGGCAGGGTGGTTTCGAGATCGTCGAAAATCAAAATCATCAAACACACAAATATTCGGAGAGTGACGTTTCTATAATATACTAACACGATAATAATAATATATTATTATAACATGGGATAATAATTCATCTTTGCGTCTGAAACATAGACATAACACGTACACGTACATACTACCCGAAACACATCACGTGCTTTGTTTTATAATGCAACGCATGCATGAAGTTTTCTTTATTTCTTATTTTTTTTCTTCACATATTATAATTAAACTATGGTACAGAATCACAATCGCATTACAATTGTCAAAAAATGCAATAATATTTTATAATTATTATTCCGCGCATTGTGCGTTTGAGGGTTAGACCTGCGAAAAAAAGAAACATTGTCAAAACAATGAAATCCGTCATTTTTACTATATATATATATATATGTATATCTGTCATATTATATAATCAAGATCACGTCGTAAATCATATAAAACTGCAGTATTTTACGATTGACTTTTTGTGGTCGGTTAGTTTAGGTTAAAAAGCTTTTACTCACAAAAGATGAATAAGTGAAATAAATTATGATGTGTAATTTACACCATCACAATCATGAAATATTATTTGCCGGCTACGCGTAGTTTTCAATCAACAAAACAAGTATACCTACATAAAATATATTATAAATATACGGCTCTAATAAACGGTTAACCTTTTTATATACTGTCATTCATAAATTACATATTTATTTTTTAATCAATGTTCGGACACAACTGCACCGCAGCGCCGCTTTTTTTCTAGTTTGACGAATGTGCCCAGTTAAAAATAATAATAATAATAATAAATAATCCTATTATAGACGGTATCAACGACGACGGCACGCCGTCCAAAACGAAATTCCTCTGTGCATTCTACTTCATCTTTACCAACAACTACCGAGTCGCAGTGTGTTTGAGACCTGGCCAGGCCCATTTCAGGAATACTTGTTAATTTCCAGGTCACACCTTTGATAAATTGTTTACACGAATGCATATCGTATCCATTATATATATATATATATATATATAATTATTGTAATATTCACTATTAAGTATTAATTCAAGTAAATAAAAATACACATAATATATATAAATGTATATCATATTATATATACCTATTTTATCATTCTCTTAATTCAGAAAATATTACGTTAACGGAACCTGTTTATGTATGGTGACAATCAAACTTTCTCGTCCACAGCAAAAACGCATTTTTTTTTAAATAAATAATATACCTAATATAATCAAAAGAAAATCGTCATTTATATCTTCACTTATGATTGTTAAGTATAAGGATATTGAATACTTGCACAAAAATGTAGATACAGATAAGAGCACAGATACTGCTATATTAAACCGTGTTTTTCTCCGTCAACAAATTACTTGTTTTAAATTCATTTTCGTAACTATAGTATACTGTAATATGTATATACATAATATTTACATTAAGAATGAGTCAAATTCTTTTTTTTTTTTTTTTTGGGGGGGGGAGTTATCCAAATTCAAAATGAAATCAATTTATACACGACGTGTCTACAAAATATAGGTACGCCTATCATATGTAAATATTTTTAAACTTGTTTTACTAATTTTCAGTAACAATTCTAAAAAAATCTTTTATAAAATAAATAAATAAATAAATAATGTAAAATTACAAATATTTACTTAAGGAAAAACAAAAGAATATCAACCTATATGAATAGATACATTTTAAAATTTAATTTCCATAATCGATTTGTATCGAACTTAACAGAACCATAACCTTATACAATTATTCACCTATTCATGACGATTATATTATTTACCATTATTATTATTATTATTATCATTATTATTCTGATAGCTCATCAAAACTCAAAAGTCAAAAGCCACTATTCGTCAATAAAGACAGTTAATATACTGATCAAATCCACAATTCGTATAAAAAATATAGTAAGTCAAATACGTCTTATTGTTAGTCTTGGTTTGATTTGAAATTCCACGCTCAATTTTGCGCATTTATTAGATAAAAAATTTAAAATAGTTTCTTTTTATCTTTCAACTATCTGGTATAGGGTATAGAGCATATATATAGGTATCATAGTGGCACGTCGTCGCGGTCGTGATTTATATTTTGACTTAACTATGTTGTTTTTTCGTAGTATAATAATGATAATATAAATTTGAAACATTTTCATTTTTTATAAGTGGTTAGGCACGATAATAGTTACTTAATTACAGAATACAATAAATTACTATGCTTTATTAATTTAAAATGCATATTTTTTTAGAGAAATTATTAACTTCCATAATATTACAAGAAATATAAATTTTTTTTAAGACTTAATTTAGTGTAATCCACAAAAAAAACTTATTCAAAATGAAATATAAAAATATCTATATTATTGATGAACTTTCTATTGATATACATATTTTTGTTTTCGATCCTATTATATTATATTATAATACACGTTGTGTATAATTTTTGACTTAATAAACACAATAATATTATATATTTATATATTATATATATACGCTGTTAAAGTTTGAAATTAGCATAAGTACTACAAAGACAGGTCAATCGTTCTTGATAAATATTTAATTATAAGTACTTATTTGAATAAATTTTTTTTTGTATTTTATTTTATTTTGAGAATGTATTTATTATTTTTTTTTAATGTCATCATTTGTATGGCATTGCCTACTTAAATGTTACCCCTTTCAGTACTCCTACGAACTACAAATTACAAATGTTAATAATCTTAGTAATTTTTTATTATTATTATTAGTTTTTTAGTACAACTAGTCAATTAGTATTTTATTTACTTTTTAAAAGTATTTTTAACGAATATGGCCGCAGATATTATGATTTATGATAGTACCGCCATACCGGCACCCCTGTACCTAAATGTAAAATAATAAGTCACTAAATTAACACATACTTACTGCGTGCCAGAAATCAGAATTGGGACAATTTTTCCTCTCCTCTTTTCACTCAGCAATCGATCATTCAGCTAATTTTATTCGCAGATTTGTATTCATTATACTGCACCATACTATTATAATACGGATCCACGTGCATACGCACTCCGATAGTTTATATTTTCTATGTCGGTTTATTACCATTAATAATGAATGAGTTACGCGCTTCGGTTGAATTTAAAATTTCAACTTATTTCCGCGAGTTAATGTCTTATGTGCAATGTATCTGACTTGTGTTTATATTACTATCAAAGTGCAAACGTTAAACAAACGTTTAACTGTATTGCTTGACACGACATTCCTATTAGATAAAGAAAGTAGGTTTATAGTTGCTTTTGTGTTGTTTGTAACTTATGGGACAATTTGTTATGGTACTTGGTGGGAGGAGGTCCAACGGCAATACATATATAGGCGCCTTTACATTAAATCAGACTAAAAAACTATCGATACAATAAAAGAAGATAAGTCTGTAAGAAAAATATTATCAACGCTTTTAGAATTGTGATTTTGAGATGCATATATATATTAGATATAAGATGCGTGAATTATATGGAGCCGCACGTAAAATATAGTTAGGTACCTACCATAAAATATATAATATATTGTTATTATTATAGTGTATATACGGGCGGCTGTACAAAAGGGCATCGCATTAGAGTCGGTGGCTTTAAGATATATATACACACG